ACTGCGCAGTTTTTAAAAATATTTTGGACCTATGGAAGTTCTTTTTTTTTCTCATACATTTCAGTTGAAAATTTTAGAATGTTCTGCTAAAAGCATATTTTTTATGTTTCTAGCAAAAATTTTGTATCTTGCATCAAAGATAGGAAGGTGATTATTTTTTTCAAATATCTGCAACTAATAGGGAATCTGTCAAAAAAAAATCTGAGAAAAGTCAACCCAAAAAAGAGATTTAAAAAAATTAAGCCACTAGGTCATAAAATTTGAAAAAATCACAAAATTAACGATAACTTCTAAACTACGAAAAATCGTAGAACATACATGGGGGTGAAATCGATAGGTCTAGTCCTCACCTATCACCTGCCTTCGGCTTGACACCTTACAAGAAACACCCTGTATAAAAACAAGAGATTGATACACAGTGACATGTCGCATACTTTTTCCTATTCACAGAATGTAAATTACAAAATGACATTTTCTGTGCCCGTTCTCTTTGATATAAATTAGATAATGATTTAATAAAATGATTGTAAAAATATTTAGCGACAATTTTGACTTACCATCACAACTCTTATAACTAATTTTCTTTCTTTCATCTTAAGAATTTCTAAATTATTATTCTTTTTATGTTAACAGAAAGCTGTAAACGACAATGTAACCATTATATCTCTGGTCTAAAATTATGAACCCGTACATAGTATTATGTTATGAAATTCAAATATGTAAATAGATTTAAAAAACTTAACTAGGTATGTAATATAAATTTAATGATAGGTACTAATGCAAGAGCGAATGTGGACGGTAGCAGGCAAAAGCTTCCGCGCCTCAAGAGATACCTTTCTAAAACATAGTGCTATGGTGAGATTCGTCTTAACAATAAATTAATAATTTTCTATATATACATATAAAGATCTTAAAATAATTCAGTTCAAAAAACTCAGCCAATGTACCATTTAAATTGAACGACAATCACAAAAAGAGATTCACACATTATTTAGAAGGAACTTAGAATTACCTACATCAGAGCGAAAAGCAACATAGATTATACGTCGTGATAATACACGACATCGAATTGAACTATTAAATAAATATTTATATTTTAAAATATTTGTGCAGACATATTCTCTAAAATCAACACAGGTTTTCAACATTACATAATAAAATTTTGAAATAATCAACACAACAGTTTCTGCGACTATCGAATATTCACAACCAGCGCAAAACGTATGCAATTTTGATTCCTTTGGCTCTGTACTGGGAACGGAACAGTCGGTTAGCACATAGCCCTAGTTTAGCCATTATAGCTCCAATAAATTGGTAAATCTACAATGACACGATATTGTTTCTTTAAATCGGCGACACGGTTATGTCAACGGTATATTAAAATAGTAAAAATATTTATTATAGTTACGATATTGCACGTAATCAGTAGAAGGGCCATCAAAATGCGGGTAAAATCTGAAAATGCATTAGATGCGATTTTCAGCAGAAACATTTGTTTCTTTCCGTTGCACGCTAGTTTGAAACCTTAATAAAATATAGCACTCATTTTAGGTACGATATATGGCGACGAATGTGTAGTGTAACACCGAGAGGTGCCAGTTAAATCTACGTTGAAGCCTAGTAGCAATTTGATCGGACGGTAACTTATAGTTTGACTCCGATACTACGCGCCCACTGCTCGAAAGACGTAGGTAGGTTAATATGCTTTATTATTATGGCAGGGATGCGTGATACACGTAGAACAAATTATATGCGCATTTCATAACTTTGATGTGGATGGATGTTTCTCATGAGTCAAATTTACAGGAGCAAAAAGGTAGCAGCTCCGATCCACAATTACTCTTTAATTGAGAATTGTTCAAAGTCACGGTACTTACTTCAGTAAGTTTGTAACTTGAGTTTAATATAC